AAAGGAGGTATCGAGGAAAACTTTTTATCAGTTATGAAAGAGCAGATCACGGGCTATCTTCCCATGCATTTATCTCCATTTCGACTTTTTTGACGAAAATTGACTTTTTTTGAGTGGGGGGGGGGGGGCCTTAAGTTGACGTCATTAAATATTATTTATAATGGGTCTCAAATGGAAAAATACTTTCTCTAGCGATACTATTGGATCTGAATATTAAACGTTTTAATCATAAAAAAGATGTGATAATATATCTTCCTCTGTGGCATTCGCATTTTTCCCGACTAATATAGGATAATTCTCTTCCCGAAAAGCAAAATCTATACTACTTATTGTTTGTATCATCATTATAACTACCCATAATTAGAATTGAGGTAGACATTTTTTTAGAATAAATAAATATAAGTTTAGTTTAAAAAAAATCAGATAAAATATGATAGTTCATCACAACTTTTCATTTCCGAATTTTAAGCAATTTTAAGTTTGATAGTTTCTATCATAGGAAAGAAAATTTTAGCAAAAAGAAATGGAAAAACTGGCTTAAAATGTTATTTATGAAAAGTAATATCGAATGCTTTAGTTAAATAAAACTATTTTAAATGAACAATTTTCGTAATTAGATAGTATCTGTTTTCGTGTAATCATCTAACTCTTTCCATTATAATTTAGTGTAAGATTTTCATTAGAAAGTCTAATGACGCTTTTCACATACTTTTGTGTCTCCGTTGCCCCCTTTTATATAAAGGAATTGAGTTTCCTATCAAATTCTTTAATTTTGATAGACAAGGTAATAGATTTTTAATCAATGTATTAAACGATAATTGTGTTGTTGTTGAAGAATTATCATCTTGAGGAATATCTATTGAAAGAAGTTAGACGCTTGTATAGAAAAAGATAGAGTTTTAATAACTTACAAACAATAACAATAATTTCCAAATTACTCAATAATTTTTGTCTTCTTTTGAGGATTCTTTAACTTTAAATCAGCGCACTCATCACAATATAGCCAACCCTTTACGCATACACATAAATACGGTTCAACATCAGCATTATAGTTTTGGATTTTAAAGATAATTAGCAACAAGTAATATATCATATCCTTTTCATTATAGTTCTGATAAATACATTAAAAAAAATGGTGGTCTAAAAAGAGTAAGGGTCTTCATATTTTCTTTAGTTTTCATAGATTTGAACTAGACGTTTTTTTTTTACAAGATTTGACGTTTAATCTCTACCAAATCATAAACCAATAGATGTCACAGGGATAAAAGTAAAAGAATTATTGTAGTAATACTACAAACATGCAATATCAACTACTTTTAATCACACAATACAGTTCTCTTGTATTTATGTGTTCTCACATCGACCTATATAGACAAATTTTACTATTCATCTTGCATAGTTTCAAAAGCTCTATGTTATTAGTACGTTCAAGAATTTTCATAACGGACCCTATTTCGTAAAATAAGAGCTAATAAGTGTTACTTTTTTTCAAATTCAAAAAGGCAGTCGTTTTATTTGAAACAAATAACATTTGTTTAGCTCGTTTTTTTTTTATGCACCAAGATTTTGTTAGGAAAATTCTTGAACATACTAATAATATAGAGCTTTTGAAACTCTACAAAACGCAAAGGTACGATTTGTCCGAGTTTGCATACCTAGTTCGACATGAACACATAAAAATACAAGACAATTGTACTGTGTGTTTCGAAGTTGTTGATATTAGATATTCACAATTTTACTTCAATACCGTTTTTGCTCTTATTTCTATGAGACACATTTGTATCTAGTTTTGTAGAGAATCAAATTATGAATTTTTTGAAAAAAAATCTTAAATCCTACTCTATGAAAACTAGAAAAGATATTGGACGAATACGGAGACCCTCATTCTTTATGGGTCACTCGTTAAGTTGCAACTTACGTTCTGTTTCATTGCCAGTCTCACTAATCTCAACCCCTAAGCTTAATCGTTTTAAAGTTACATACGATTTGGTTGTTTCATCAAAAAAAGAATATCTTCTAAAATTGTAACTTTTATTTAAAATATTGATAATGATTTATTCTCAAAAAATTTATCTTTGATAAAATCATCATTCAAAATTATATTATATTTGTCTTCATCACAAATTTGAATTGATAACAGATAGTTTTCACGTATTATTATTAATTGATTTAATGTATATTCAAACGTTGATTTAAACCAAAAAAATGTGCTTCCACTGGTAAATTTATCTTTCATAGAAGACCATCTCACGTTGCGTGAAGTGCGACGTTATCAAGAACTAGTGTCTTATATTACAGTTTTACTCAAACATAAAAAATGAAATCATGAGAAGAATCCTGAATAGATTATGGGAACGAAAACAAACATATCTTACGGGAACGGAAATGGGAAACGGGAATCGAGAAAAGTCATTCGCATAGAACACTATCTGATAATTCTTGCACGTTTTATAAAAGAAATGTAATAAAAAAAAATAGACTTAAGAATGACTGCAAAATTTATTTTAACATCAGCAACAAGGCGAAAGACAATATCAATATCAGAAAGAACTAGACTATCAAAATGGCAACGTCTACTTTTGCAAAAAAGCTGCAAAAATTAAATTAAGTGTAGACTAACTTTATCTTGAATAGGTAGTGGCATTGTGCAATTACGTTTTTAACACTATTTAATTGTGGCAATATGACGTAGACACTATGTTTTTCGTTCTACGTATAATATGCATATAGATTGTTTCAAACTATCAGGCTAATACATATTTATTATATGATGCCGTAAATGTACACTCTTTCTGTTGACTTTCATCTATATCGATATAGATACAAAAGCAACTTCTTCACCCTGGGAGTATGGGACATGTGCCCAGATGCTGCCATACTTAATGAAATAATATAAGCGTATTTTTTCCATAAAAAGAGGAAGACACGACAACTTCACACTCACAATTAAAATATTGTGACGCTATTAGATTTTATCTCATACTTGTTAATGATTGTACCTCCAATCTCCCCAACACTTTTTCTTAGAACAAGAAATTTGTATTCTTAAGATAAATAGAAAACAAAACGGGAAACTTTCCTCTAATCAAACTTAAGACAAAACGAATAAGTTAATACAATGAATTATTTAGATCTTTTCATCATTTTATTTCAACTCGTTTTTTAATTCACATATCACTGATTGCACAATATAACGACTTTTTTCTAATTTTTCGTTGACACTTGAATGTTCTGGATCAACTAAATCTGTAAGTTCCCATAATGCTAAATTTGTTGCAAATCGATTAAATTTTTCTAGTAAAGAAAATTGTTCAATTGTTCGTGGTGTTAAAATATTTCGTTTTTCTAACTCTTCAAAAAAGTAATTTCGAACATTATCATCATCATCATTCAGAAAATATTGATATGAAGTAAAATATTCTTCTGAACATGAAAATGAACCAGCCCATTCCCAATCGACTATTCCAGTAATATGTGGTGATTCAGGATCATCCATTGATATTAAAATATTTTGAGTATCAAGATCTCCATGTGAAAATAGAAATGGTAAATTTGTCCATGATGGAAATTTGAGTTTATCAAACTCATGAATAGCATCAAACATTGAATCTTTAATAGGTGCAAAAACTGGATCTTTATTAAGAACAATTGCATCTGCATGAACACGATCACGAATAAATTGTTCATAACTAGGCCAAGGTCCAAGTTGATTGAGATCAGTACCAATTTCTCCATTCATTTTGAATGCACCTATTTTATCGAAACGGGGTATTCGAAAATGCATTTGTTCAACATAATCAGCTAAATCTCGTATAATTGACTTTTTTGCATTAATACTTAATTGTTGAGTTTCACATATTGTGCCCATATTTTTACCAGGTAGACGTGTCATTAATATCCATTCGACACCATATTCATTATTTCGATCAGATGAATAAGCAAGAACTTTTGGTACAGGTATTGTTGTATATTTTGTAAGTAATTCCAATGCTTTGACTTCTGCTTCTGTTTTAATTTTATTCCAATAACGTCCACCAATCTTAAGTGCATAACGTTCAGTACTTTCTGCCGTGTCAATAAAAAATATCAAATTATTATAACCAGTGTCAATGTATTCAAATGAAAGTATACTCTTATTTAAATATTGTCGAATCAATGTATCAGCTTGAGCACGTGTAAATGATATTCCATAAGTAGGTCCATTTCGTTCCATTAATTATAAAGAATCCGTAATAATACTACTGTAAGCAGATGTATTCTATTTGTGTTGAAACTCAAGGTCTTCATGCAACATGTATAGAACACAATAGTTATTATGAAATTTAGTGTTTATCATGAGTCATGAGATAAGAGATTTCAGGTACGCTGTCCGAAGAAATTAAAAGAAAAAGCGTTTCTTTTTTGTGATTACTGGCAGATACATACCCCCTAGCGACATCTACAAGGAATCTCGAAGCAATGTATTAATGCAAAATATTTTTTATTTTATATAGTCTGTAAAAGAAAAAAAACATAATTATCATATGCACATTAGGGAGCATCGGCAAAATCTTGCCATACAGCTAAGAGTTACTTCAGTGAAAATTACACGAAGCAATATAAACAAAACATTTTCAGTCTTAAATACATACATGTTTTTCGAGTTCTTCTGCAGTTTAGTCACACCCTTGCACTGATTCGTACACTCAACACAGCAATCAGTGTATGGGTGAGAGTGAGAGTGTGACTAAACTACAGTAGTACCAGTATTCTTTATTGGTTATTCTCTTTTCCAGTACTATTAATGACGAGCCTTTTTTTTTTCTATTCTAAAATTCTTTTGAATTGTTTATAATTGAATGAATTTTTATCGAACAAAATGAAACAATATAGTCCTTATATCATCAGTTTTGATAATAGAACTTATTCATCAACAAAACTTTCTATATATCGAGTATGTTCCAAGTTTATACTATACTGAAAGTAGATTCATAATGATTTCAAATTTCTAAAAGACAAAAAAAAAGATGCGAATTTACTTTCACTGTGAATAATTAAGATATATTTGCAATAATTATTGAAATTAAATTTAGTATTGGTGCCATTTACATAGACCACAACGTGCATTAATTATTGGAATTAGTCTATTTTTTCTGTTTATTTATATCAATTCTTATAAAAATTCGACAAAATCAATTGAGCATAATTCATATGAATATCATCGAGAAGTAATAAAAAAAGAAAAAGAAGCTTGGCGAAAAAGACAAACTCAAGTAAGTGAAATATTCTCGTTCTCTAGAAAGATAAAAGTAAAAAAAAATGATAATATTTATTCAAAATGTCTTATCTCATTGGTCTTTTGAGATTCTGTCTATTCATCTTTATTTTCTATTGTTATAATAAAAAAATAAATCATTTTCGATGTTATTATACATCTTTATATCAATGTTATGAAAATAAATCTATATTTCATGTATATGAAAGGTGGTATAAATAAATTTCATAAGGATTTATTTTTATTTATTTAGGAGAATCTATTAAACAAAGCAAACGTTCAAAAACATGATTTTTTAAGTAATTCAATTGTTATTTTCTTTATCAAATATGATAATCATCATTTTTGATAAGCTCCAACAAATGAACGTCAAATAGCCGTACGAGATGCAATGAAACATGCTTGGAAAGCATATCGAACATATGCATGGGGTTATGATGAATTACAAACAATATCTAAAAGTTCATCAACATGGTTTGGTCTTGGTTTAACTATTATTGATGGAATTGATACATTATATATTATGAATATGACTGAAGGTTTGATTAAAAGAACTCTACTGGGTTTCGTGACCTATCTTGAACTAGGATATCATACATGTAAAATAAACTTATGAAAATTTTATTTTTAAATTCAGTTAGATAGAGTTATTGATGCTCTTCAATTTTCTATAATCCATAATTTTCATCGTTGTTTGCTTCATACTTGAAAATGGTTTCTCCTTGTCTTGAATCTGTACTATATCTTGGTTACTTGATATTTCAATGTAGTCACCTGTATGCCACAGGATAAATCACTACTAACATGAAAGTTTCTCAAAAATTAAACATTATCAAATTCTCTATGTTGAATAGATGACGGAATTTGAACAACACTCAACAATCCTATTGAATTTTTTTATGTACTAACAGTATGAATATAGGGTTGCACGAAGTAGGTCTACTATTTTTATTATTTCTTCAAAATTTGACTCCGAGTATCCATGTTTTAACTCCTCGCAGATCTGGGCCAAAATTTTTTTTTTTCCATTTATGAATAAGTTATAATATTAGCTCTTCATGGATGCTGTCCTAATTATTAATACATAAAAAAATTTTATAGAGCCATCCAGTATTATTGCAATATATAGTGTGCAGTTGCTGAGAAAGTTTCACGTTGGTGCTGACTTGTTCTGTGGCACACAGATAATCATATTGAAATATCAAGTATTCAAGAAATAGTGTAGACTAAAGACAAGAAACCATGTTCAAGTATGAAGAAAGTAACGATCAAAATTATGAATTATAGAAAATTGAAGAACATCTATAACTCTATCGGATTGTATTTAAAAATAAAATTTTTACAAGCTTATTTTAGAATATCTTAAGTAACTCAATGTCTATGAGTACAATATATGTACCATTCCGTGTGTCACAGCATGCCCTACAAAATCATATATATGGTATCTTAGTTCAAGAAGGGTCACCCAATCCGGCGAGATTCTTTCTTTAAAATAAACTTTCCGTGTTATATTTTAGAATATAATGAAGCACGTGAATGGATTGAAAAATCGTTTAATATTGATTCAGATGCTGTTGACAAATATAATTCACATTTTGAAGTAACAATACGAATTTTAGGTGGTCTTCTTAGTATTTATCACTTAACAGCTGATGAAATGTTTTTAAAACGAGCTGTAAGGAAAAAAAGGCAAAGTAGAATTTTTGAAGAATTTTTTTTTGTGTATATGTTTTTAGATTGAATTAGGTGATCGACTTTTGTTAAATTTCGATACACCATCAAGTTTACCTTTAGCAGAAATAAATATTAAACGAAAAATAGCTAGTGCTTATGGGTATAAAATTTTCGTTTATCTACAATCTTTAGCTTTTTTGTTTATAGGTGGACTTCAAATTCAGCAACAGCTGAAGTCGGTACTGTTCAACTTGAAATGCGAGATTTATCACGAGTAACTGGTGACAGACTATATGAGGTTTATGTCGTTTGATGTATTTATGTTATAAATTGAAAAATTGTTTTTTCTTTTATAGAATGTAGCTGATAAATCAGCAGCAACACTTCATAGTCAATCGAAAAAAGATGGTCTTGTACCGATATTTATTAATCCTTTAACAGGGCGATTTTCTAGTGGTGTAATATCATTTGGTGCACGTGGAGATTCATATTATGAATATTTACTTAAACAATGGTTACAAACAGGACAAAAACGATCTGTGTAAATATTATTCAATGAAACAAAGAGATATATTTTTGTTTAGATAATTATCATATAGATGAAATTAAATGGAGAAAAAAAATTCTAAAACTTATTATTATTTGTTAGCTTATTTTGATTTAGTATATGCTTCCACTTGACTAGCTGATATTGGGAGAATTTTCCACTAAATAGTATGACGTTCGGAATGATTGTTTTGTGAAATATAGTCTAAAAGAAATTTTGAAATAGAAAGCAAGTCAGACTTATTTTCTTAAAACTGAAGTCTACTGCAAGATTACTATGAAATATGAATTAGACATACACCCAACTCTGGCTCGATACTCGGAAATTATTAACATTATTGATTTTTTTAATCTTTTGGCTTCTGTTTCTTTTTTGTAATTAACTAAAAATAACCGCAATCAAGGTCGAACATGAATACACTTTAGATGCTTGCTCTTTGTCCTTCTTGTTGCACACCAATTGTAACTTGGTTCTGATTAGTCGACTGGGTACATATACAATGTTCTTATACTTATCTCTATTGATCTTTGTTTTATGACAATGAATTTTCATTGATGCTAGATTTATTTTTCTTCAATAGAAGGATGCTGAAAGAAAGCTTTTTTTTATCCGAAGATAGAACATTTTCATTGTGCGTTCATAATCGAAATTAGACAACTGAAAAGAGAACTACATTCAAAACGAGTGAGTATTTTGCAGATAATGCAAGAAAACACGTGTTAGAACAAGAATTTTTTACCACTTTCTAGGAAGTTTTCTGCTGTTTTGAATGCTCTAGAACTTAACTTTGTTATAAATTCATAAACAAAAAATGATAGAAGAATGAAGAGAAATGCTGGTACCATGAATTTGTAATTTTTATATTGGGCCATGAAAACAAATCGTGGAAAACATTTCAATCAAAAATTAAGCAATTAGGTAAAATATCTTAACAATCGTTACAGTATTATTTAGCATAAAATTAGCTGAGCTCTAGCAAACAAAAAGAATTGCGAGAAGTCTCATGTGACTCAAACTGCAAAAACAAAATCCGTCAATAGATCGTTGGCTACGATGTTCACTATAGTGGAAATAATACTACATGGAATTGTACAAAATGATTCCTCGTGATCGTGACGTTATTTTAGATGATGAAAAATATTTCACGTTACTTGAAAATAATGTCATGGAAAATCAATATTTTTACTCTATTGATCTAAGTACGATCTTTCTTCACTGCATATTTAATAAAAAAAAAAAAAGAACTTTGAACTATAAATTATAGTTTGATCATGTTGTTTGCGAATGTATAGCAAAATTAACTTATAGAAACTAGTAAAAAATTTTCGTTTCAACACGTACTTTTTGAAGAGATATACAGGTCAATATTTTGTACCGTTATTTTGCATTATATGAAAAATGTGAATTCACTATGGAGGTGCTTTGCTTTTTTGTTATGTCATTTCGATTCTGAACATGTGATAAAAATAAATTTTGTACGATTCAGAAGAGAAAAAAAAAGGATCTCTTTCAGTACCCTTCTATCAAAGAGAACTAGGAGCCAACATTTGTCCAATTACATTTGCACCATATATTATTACAAAAGAAATAGTTCATTATTGATATGTATTAACAAAAGGTAGTAATTCACAAAGCGAAATTTATGCTGAGATAGTTTCTTGCTGTTCATCATGTGAGCAGTTCCATTGTGTTCCACATATTAATCTCACATGGATTATTCTAATAATGTTTTCAAGATGATTTAAGATTCGCAAAAACCTCTCTAATATCTTGGAATTACATTTGTTCAAAATAAATGATTAAGATGTATTTATTCCCTAGCAAAACAGATCTTTTTTTGGTAAGTATCTTTCATCTATGCACTGATGATTGACCGGAACATAAATGATCTGAGTTAACATTAAACATTACTAATTAGTTAAATCATAAAAAAATGGGCAGCATTCACAAATAAAACATCCTATTTGTAGCTTGCAGTTAGTTGTTAGGAAAAAAATAATCAGTTTCTCAGGTGTTTGCTGACAAAGTCGATTCTTTTTGCTATAATAAAACAATCTGATGAATTTCTAACGTACAAAAAACATTAATTTATTTTTATTTTAGTTTTTGGGATGATTGGATTGAATGTATTGGTAAATTGAAAGAAAGTAGAAAATGATAAAATAAAATAATACCTTTCTTTGTTAGACGGTGTACGAAAACATCTTTGGCATATAGCATATCCGAAAAAACTTTTTTTCGTTGGTGAACTAATTGGCATGTCAAATTTTTCACCTAAAATGGTAGTCATTAATCTTTTGAAACAATATGTAATAGAAAAAAAACGCCACTTAGGACCATTTAGCTTGTTTTCTTGCTGGTAATATGGCACTTGGTTGGAATTTTCAACGTGATTTAACTTATCTACTTGATATGGCCAAATATTTAACTAAAACATGTTATCAAATGTATGCTGAGCAAGCAACTGGTCTTAGCCCTGAAATAGCTTATTTTAATATCGATTCAAATTCGAATGAATCAACAATTATTGTTCGAGTATATTTATCTGTCTAACATATATTTCTTTAAACAAACTCTTTTTTTTTTTCATTTTGAAAAGGATAATGATGCACATAATTTATTACGTCCAGAATTGATTGAATCATTATATTATATGTATCATATAACTGGTAATGAAATGTATCAAGAATGGGGTTGGAATATTTTTCAATCATTTGAAAAATATACTCGACAAGATGAAGGTTATTCATCAATAAATGATGTTCGAAATAAAGATAATGTTCGACCACGTGATAAAATGGAAAGTTATTTTTTAGCTGAAACATTAAAATATTTTTATTTATTATTTCATACGACAAATTTATTTCCATTTAATCAATGGTTATTTAATACAGAAGCACATCTATTACCAACTTATAATAATTAATTGCATTTTATTCTTTATTTATTGTTATTATTATTATGTCTGATTGAGGATTATTGTTTTAATTGGTTACCGGTGTAATGATGGCTTATTATAATTTTGCAATATTTGTATTGAATGATGCGTTTATGTGAGGGTTTTCTTTTCTTTAATAAATTGCTATGACATGTGAGCATGTTTGAAAAGAAAAAAAAAATACTTTGTCATGCTGACAAAATGATTTTTCTTATTTTGCTTTCAGAACGATAAAAACCTTGTTCTTTTTTGTCTTTCTCTTTCATTCTTCAACATCGTCTGTTATACTCACGATTTAAAACATGTCAACAAATATACCGGTAGGAGAAAACATTCTGATGTTTTGATTTTGGTAACTAATCAATATGTTATAGGATATGTTTACTGTTGATTCTGAGATATAATAGTAGTTAACCCTTTGGTTACGGGGTTTTTTTTTAAGACGAATCTTTTTTTTTTCGTTCTAAAACAGTCTGAAATAACTTTTATTAGTATATAGAATTATTTAGAAATGTTTTAAAGTATGATAATCCTCAAAACAACCTATCACACAAAGCCCAACGTTACAAACATCACCCTGATAACGTGTATTGGTATTCTTTTTCTCGCGTCTGCTTGTATGATTACAAACTATACAAACTCTTCATCCAATGTTTTCTGTTGCTGTTGCTGGAACTAGAGAAGGAAAATGACGTGCAGTAAGACGTATGGGATTATCTCCGATAATCGGACGACCAATTGGATGTTTGGGCTCATCATATCTTTCAATCAATTGCCGGATCAATTCAGTTCGAAAATCACCAAATTGAATAGTTTTTTTATGCTTTACTTTGAATAGTATATACGCGTTCAAGGTTGATAAATCCAGCAGATGAAAGAAAAATTTCTTGTACCACTTGACAGTTTTTCGTACGCATTCTATAGAATATACTAGTAAAAGTAGAATGTGAGAAGCAGACATGTCAGAACGCAAGAGAGAGTACATAAATACACACATAGCTATCCGGGGCGATGACGTAATAATATTACTAAGATAAGAGTAAAAGAAAGGAATCTTTTCGATCGAGTCTAAATAATATTATAATGACGGTAATAGCTGCAAAACTTCAAATACCATATATGGGTGATCCGTAATCAAAGGGTCAAGGGTCTTATCTAGAATGAAATAAATCACAGAATACAATAGCAACATCAATTAGGCAGCCGAAAGCTCGCCGGTAGGACTTTCGCTAAGGTGAATACTTCATTGGCATTAACAACAGAAATCTGTATCAATTATATTCATAAGTACGATCACCATGATATATTTCAATAACATTGACGATGCTTCTCATATGTACGTTGTATTCACACTGTTATATGACAATGCGTGGAGGTCCGCGGAATTTTCGTCAATACTTAGCGTAGAGCAGAAATCCCCGTCATTCACATAGAAAAATTTATTAATAAAAAACAAGATTAAAGAGGAAGCTATAATGAATATTTTATAATCTGCTGATTACTTATAAAAAAAAAACAATATGTCGATAGAATAGCATCACAACGAAAACAGAATGTGAAGTTGAGTGTTAGAGTTCATACTCCTTGACTGTAGCATTCCTCAACTTCAAATATAATGTTTCCTGTAATATTATAACAAGCTTTTCTTGAGAAAGAGCATATCAGGCTGCAGTACTGACCAGAACTAGAAAAGCCCGGACGCTCGAATCGTTGACTTGAGTTTAGAAAAAAAATCGAAAAACAAAATATATATATATATATTAGAATGAAGACTTGCAGAGAATTTCAGGTCACCAAGTCAGCTATTTTTGGTCGTCTGTTTAATATATATCTCATGAAAACATTATGATCTCGAGCTGCAAGTTCACTATAGCTTGCCCGCTACAATCTCGTTGAAAATTTCATTGAATTTGAATTATTCCTGGCTTGAACTCGGTTTTGAGGATGAGCTTTATAAGAACTGGTTAACAGCTAGCAACTTGGTTTTTATGACTCACGCAGTAAATAATTACGTATGTAAAAACAAACTTAGCTGCTTGTGGTATCTTTTTTTTTTTAATTAGTTTTTGAAAATGATCTATGACAAACTACTCTTTCAGAATAATCGAAATTAAGTTAATACTAAGTAAATAAAAGTGATATTTTTTGTATGTTATAAAATGCTTTTTCAATATTTTCTATTAATAATTTTTCTTCTATTTAGGATGTCGATCAACTCATATTTGAGCCTTTACTCAGTCCATTATTCCCGAAAGCAACAGAAATACTTTTTTATACAGGTAATACATTAGCATCACTTAAGTTGATGAAAAAAGCCAATAAAAGCATAACTGAAGAGGTAATATTTAAAAACTAAGAATGTGATATTTTTAAATTATATTTATTTTTTATTAGATTATTGAATATATTTCAACAGTATTACAAACAATGAGAATAGAAATGCATGAAAAACAATTTCAAGTATAATTATTTGAAAAAAAAACACAATTGATTTGTCTTATCTAAAGAAATAATTTATTTTTAGAATGAAACATATGTTAAATTTCTTCCAATATCGGATGAAACATCAATGACAAATAACCATAACACTTCAAGTTCTGATACTGAACAATTAACACGAGAAGATTTAAAATTTTCTGGTAAATACTTTTTTTTTCGAATTCGTCATTAAATATATCTCATCTTTATGTTTCAGTGAAAATATTTCTTCGTTCACTAGACCCAGAATTATTATCTCATACCATTGATACAGGTTTTGTTTATATGTCAATGAAAGAAAGAAGTCTGTTAAACGATAGAATTGGTCTTCGCTCGAAATTGAGTTCCTTATTTTCAAAAAAAAAGTAAATTCGAATGTCAGAAGTCGATTATCATTCTATCTAGACCGTAAGACTGCATACCGCTGACTCAAAACTCGACATTATTTATGCTTTATAGGTTCATGCTGTGCAATTTTTCTATGAAAAGCTTTTTTCTCGCCTTCAACTCTTTTAATTTGAATTTTATATCCAATGAAAACTTTCTTTCCTCTATCAAATGGCATATATAGGTCTGATAAAATATTGTTCGTTGGTATGCACAATATGAAAACGTCCATTACAAAATTCCCTTCGTATTGTGCTTTTAAAGCAGCGATTCACTTTATATTATATATCACTCAATAGGCTATTCAAAGCTATAAAATGAGTGCCAACAGTTGCTTTTTTGACTGACATTTTGATGGATCTTGATCGGAATAATCAGGCTACTCATGAAAACCAGTAACATATTTGGAATCACCACAGAAAACTGAGTCGATCTACATGTGTTATAAACTTCTTCGAAAACTTTTATTTTCGTTGGAACATAAAGTCAATTAAAACATGATTTTCATTATTTATTCAGGTGTCATTTTGGATTTTCCTAGATTTTTAAAAATTTAGAAAAAACTTGCAAAAGTCAAACTGACGTTTTGACTGATTGCATTTTTCAACGTAATCTAGAGCAGGACCAGGAAAGAGTGTTTCAACAAAAGTAAAAATTGTCGAAAGATTTTGTGATATATAAGATCGACCCGATTTTTTGCTGTGACTACAAATATATTATCGATTCTGATAAGAAGTCTGACTATTCTGACCAAAATTTGTCAAATGCATATCATAAAAGGCAACTTTTGGTACTCATGAACATTGGGTGTTTGACTTAAGTGCCTTGCTAACAAAAATGAAGCTCAAGAAAATAGTATCATTTTATAGAGTTTTGAGAAGCCTATCGAATGATATTATAATTCAAATTGGATAGCAGTATTCACAGCTCAATCGAAGGAAAGTTTTGTCATAGTTGTTCCCATATTGTACATACAAATGAACAATGTCATCTAAAAGTAAAAGGAGAAGAATAATATTTTGTCCTACTCACATATGCCATTCGATAGAGCAAAGAAATAACTTTCATTTGGTATATAAATCAAATTAAAGAAGTTGAGGAAGGAAGACAAATTGTCTATATGACAACTCCAATTGCATAAGGCTATGAAGAATAAATAATAGAGAGTTTTGAGTCAATCACGCGTAGTCGAAGGGTCTAGATCGAACGACAATCGACTTTTGACATTTGATTTGATTATTGAAGAAACAATACACTTAATTTACAGAGCAAATCGATTCCATTGCTTAACGACCTCCCACTCTTTCTTTCTTTATCTTTTGTTTATTTTTTGTTTGTTTTGCTTTAGTTTTAAACGAATTAAAAGAAAATTATTTAGAAAGTGTTACGATATCATTATCAAATTTAGGTGTGCAAATAACATTAAATGATTTTTTACCATTATGGCATATTATTGAAGATTATATAGATAAAAAAAAAATTTTATCAGCTGGTGTTTGTGATTTTATGCTTCCATTATTGTCTGATTTATATGATTCTTCTAAAGTAATAAATATTTAAAAAAATTAAAATTCAATTACGATTGATTTTCATTATTTTAGCATAAACCATACTCAAATCAAATAAATTTAGGTGTTTGTTGTTCGATTCCTGAAGAACTAAATAAATATGTTAAAGAACATAATATACAACTTTTAACACATAGTGATCCAATTGGTAAAATTTGAAAATATTCTTTCAAGTCCTTTTTTTCTAAAACAATTAATAATTTCATTTAGATATTATTAATGAAACAGATTTTCAAGAAGTTATACGAAAATATTGTCATGAATATGATTCAATTAATTGGAAACCATTATCTATTGTTCGTTATAATTCCGTCATTAGTAATCGAGGTATTATTAAAACAAAAGGATTTTTTATATATGCTAAACGAGAACTACGTATGAATTAAAATAAATCAAGTATTTCAATCAAAGACGTTTTTTTTTTTCGTAATATTTTCTTTATTTTATATTCTTACTCTTTTCGTTTCTATAAAACTAATTATTAACATGCGTTTGTTTGTGTATGCAAATTGAAAAGATCATTTTTAGATACGAAGAATTGTCATTGATGAAATGATATTTGTTAATTCCTATGTAAGAACAACAAGAATGATAATAAAAAGAAAATATTTGGTTCTTAATAATTCAATATTCAATAAGTGTTGATACATTGTCTGAGTATTTCTAATACGTCCTTCAATTACATCTCTTAACTCTTTACCTGTCTGACGCTAATGTAAAAAAAAAACTTCATGTTGAGTGGACCACGGAAGTAGCTTATGCAAATACTGATTATGACACTGATATGGTTAAATTTGGGAGAAATCATTTCACGGTGGAGATACAGTATAGACCATCAATGACCTATTCATTTTAAATGATATAGAAATTAAGTTTATGGCTAGTTTGAATTTTTCGCAGTTATGATATTATTTTATTTGTATAATACTGGAAACCTACTTATTGTGAATTTTTTTTTGACAAATGAGTCATTAGGTGTATTATAAACGTCTACTGTTGTGCTATTCTCATGTAGAGATAGAAATTTGTTATAACTATCCAGGGTGGGGACATGAAATGTTGGTCTTCTCTATGAGTATGTTGATGTGTCACAAAAGCTTTGGCTTAGTGCAACACGTTTGGTAGTGTTTATTTTAAAAATAAAAGAAGTACGAACGAGAGAAAGAAACGCAAGCAAGCAAGAAAATCGAATACTGGAATAATCTTGAACCATTTTCACATCCTTGTCTTTCTATTTTAATAATAGAAAGAGAATGAAACCAAGGAAATAAAATTCTCAACATGCCTGCCAGAGAAAATACATGCCTTTTTTACTTGCTTCTGGTGAAAAAAATTCACAACGTCAACAAACATCGTTTTCTTCCTTCTTCCATAAATCCTGTGTAAACTGTGAAGAACGTTCATTACTTTTGTTTGTATCACTTCCGTTGATCCTTCTAATTTCTTCTGCCATCCGTCGCTACAAAAACAACAGTGGACAGGACTAGACGTCTCTTGTACACTCTCCATGAAAAGTTTCTTTTCAAAACGTACGAACCCTTAGTTTTATCTTTTATAAAAGTAAGCATAGAAACTCTGGAACCTAAAAGAAGTGTTGAATAATGGCACAAAGTGATTAGTCTTTGCGTCTTAGCTTGACGATCAAATAATGGTACTATCAGCAACACAAACAACAACATCGGAAGATTTTTGCCGAATGAATTATCTTGTGAACTGTTTGCATATATATATATATATATATATTTGATGTAATTTATTCGTTTGATAATCTAAATTGTCATTTTACATCTTTGATACGAACAGCAGCATCACAATTAAAAACATCGACATGAACAATCAATGATTCATGTAACATTTAAAAACTTGTACGTGACTATCCCACTAGAATCATTTGTATGCTTACAATCATTAACAATGAAAAATCTGTATACAAAATATTTATCAAACCGTGGAATAAACAAATTATCAGCTTTAAATTGTTGTTATCAGTAACATGACTTCATTTTTATTTCGAATCTACTGGCTTATATATCAGCCAAATAGCATCACTACCACTTTTAGAGCATCTAGAATTGAAATTTTTTTAAAATAAAAGAAATATTTCGAAATTTCATGCGTTTTGATGGATGCTAAAGAAAGCATTATCAAAAGTTGAACATTTAGCATCAATTGCTATTGATATCAAGTTTTTATCTGACGTCAAAATATTTTAAAAATTATTTCCATATTTAAAAAATTTAAGCATATCGAAATTACCGCGACCATATGCAGTCACTGATTGGAGCTCATCTATTAGAATTTCTCCATTATTTACGTTAAAATGAATCGGAAATGATATTCATTTTGATGAAGTACGAGTTTTCTTGAGAGCATATCCTTTTTGCAGAATACTTTCGATTGAATTCAAACAACGTTTTATTTAGAAATGGGCAAAAATGGGAAGAATTATTATTACCAATGAAAAACCTGTTAAAATTTCGATTGAATATGAAAATATAAAAAAAACAGTCTGGAGATGACATCTTGTCATGATATTGAAAGAATAATCTTACGATTCAAAACATATTTTTGGTTAGATAAACATTGGATAGCCTCCTTGGACATTGGACAAGAAACTTGGGCATTAAAAGCTAATTATGTACTGTGTAGAGCAGTTCAGATGTATATTCATTGATCCCTCTCCGCCTATCTCATTTCGGTACACACGATCCTGCTCCCTTAGTTCTGTTATCTTATTTCTCTTTGCTACTTTTTATGCTATTACTGCTATTATCACTTCTGTCAATGTTTTTTTCCGTGTAAAATATATTAACGAATTAGTCTTTATAGGCTACATAGGCACATCTTGTTGTGTGTAGTGTCCTGCAACCCGGTCGGGTACCCGGCATCCGACCCGACCCGGCACATGGGTTCGGGTAGGAAACTGCCGGGTCGGGTCGGGTACCGGTTACAAAAAAAAATAGCCGGTCGGGTACAAAATTTTAACATGCCCGATACCCGACCCGGTAGTCACTGATATCTAGGTATCAAAAAATATTTCACTTTCCAGATTTGTTAGTAGTTAAAAGCGGAGACTTATCAAATTGATATAACAATGAATTATCAGTGAATTATACATTAGGCNTTTTATCTACTGCTCGAATAATTTTTTCTTTAGTTTATAATTAAGTAATTACTCATATATCAGTGCACATCAATTAAAACTCCTTGTAAAAAGCTCGAATATCTTAATTTTATGTATGAAAAAATGTAATTTACATGATTTAACCTGATCATCATATATCTTTCTAAGGTAAGTATTGATGAATTTTATTTATATGATTTGTTCATTATTTAAGTACAAAACAAGAAATAAAAGAAGGTGTAAATCATAACAAGATATATGATGATCAGGTTAAATCATGTAAATTACATTTTTTCATACATAAAATTAAGATATTCGAGCTTTTTACAAGGAGTTTTAATTGATGTGCACTGATATATGAGTAATTACTTAATTATAAACTAAAGAAAAAATTATTCGAGCAGTAGATAAAAAAAAAAAGAACTTAGTCAAGTATAAAAAATAAACATACTGAATATATATTTTACTATAGTACTAAAAGACAAGAGAAACGTCGGTGTCAAATTGTAAATACTAGATTATTAGTCTTACATTAAGTACACTGTGATAGTTTTTCTTATAATGAAATATCAAACTTCTTGAGTACTTTTGTAATTCAATAGAAGATTAAAAATAAATTGAGATATTTCACTAAAGAATTTCTCCCTTTCAATAAATGTAACTATAAACAATACTAACATTAATTATCTCTAGGTCCATGTAAATCAATTGAACATTCTACATGTTATAATAAAATAAAATATGTTGCATTTATGTGTCACTAGTATTAATGTTTCAGAATTTTCTATGAAAAATGTCATGCATTATAGATATGTCTTTACCCTGGTAAATACCGCCAATGGCTCGTTTGATATAATATGCTCTATATAGGTGGTATTCGCCGCTAGTGACAAAGAAACCGGCAGTAGTTTGGTAATGAAACACTTGGCTATTCTCAGACCGCAGCATATCGATAGTTGTTCTTTGACTCGTAATTTACTGCTGGCATATTAGTGGTAGTACGGACTAGCGTGCAACATCAGCGTCTATCTACTGAACATTCATTCATCGGCTTGCTTCTCGTGTAATCAAACTTAGCTTGATATTTTGATGATTGATTCACGATTGGTAATTGTTCGAAAATATGTTGAGAAATCGATTGTTAATCGACAATGGACTAACTCAAAGTAATCTATTTCAGACAAAATCGATTCGCAACAGCTAGATCTTAAGACTTTACTAGCTTGAGTTTTAATTATAAATGTTAATGATTCGAATTAAACTGAAAATGTAGTAAATATTTGCTTCTGTAGAAGAAATAATAGACACAACAAAGATTACATTAGAATAATGCATTCAGAATGTGTAACACGTATCGCTGCGAACATTTCATGTCGCACTTTAATGTATCGGAAACCATGACATATATTATATTAATGTGTAGGAGCAAACTGTTTCTTTTCTTTAGCATCTATTTCTTATTATATCTTCATCACTTTTTTTTATAAAATAATTATTTTTATCACTTATATTGCTATCCGTATACTATTGATGCGATAGTCATATGCAAACAAGACGACTCAATTCTTTGATCCAAGTGACTGATGGATACCATCAATTTTTTCATACGATGAGCTGCTTCGGCACAGCCAATGATAAAAAAAGGCATCTATGAAGTCACAATATTTCTCTTGTTTTTCAACCTATCATCTTTATATTATATGCTTCCCAGATCCCCTGTAGACTATGAATGTCCGTGAGTGTTATTATGTACGATAGGAAAAATTCCGACGATGATGATGCATCTTTTTTTCTTCTTTTAGTCTAACATATAGCATATGCAAATATACAATATATAAACCTCTAATAAAACACTCATCAAATATCATCGGTGGTACTCTATCGTAGCCAGAAATACAAAACAATTTATCGTAAACAAAAGAGAATCCGACGGGTAATCATTTTTTTTTGCATGATTTCTTCTAGCTTCTTTGTTGAATAAGATGCTTGTCAAAGTAATACAACACAAAACGTCTTGTGTTCCTTTATTTTGCCGTCTTTTGTATGTAGACTCTATATTATGTGTGAATAAGACTATTTATTAATAAATATATATAAATATACTTTTTTTTATCGTCCGTCACCGTTCTGCTATTCATAAATAAACAAAAAAAGCAATGAATAAGTTTCAGTTATTTGATTATTAAAGAAAGCAGAAGCCAACATTTAGTCAGTCTGTAAAAAAAGACTTTTGTGAACAAGACATTGTGAAAGTCAACTATCGATTATATATATACATATTTGTCTTGAGTTCCTACTGTTTCTTATTAACATCGACAAATTTAAAAAGGTAAGTGTATCTGCTTATAGTTTGTGTGACAGTGCCTACTGTTATTTTTCTATAGAAAAAAATTGACAGAAAAAAGAAGTCAATTGAAAATTCTGCATTTCTATTTAATTCAGTAAGAAACACATATGTGATCTTTTATAGAACGCTAATTATTATCAATCGTATGATCTCCAATATCTTACATCTGCTGTAAGCGATTATGTGTACGATTTGTTGATGCATAAGAAACCGTCGAGTAGAAAAAAGCTGTTTTTCTCTATTGGCGGGTTCCTTTCACTTGGAGATGAGAAGAAATTGATCTGTCGTAGTTATGTTTTCTCTTGACGAAAGAAATTTCGGTTAGTCATCATCTATATTATATTCTTCGACTATAGAAAAGATTATGAGCAGTAGAGATAGGTGAATTTTGAAAATGATAATATGTCATGAAAAGTGAACTCATGCAATGTTAATTTTCAGTAAGATAAATAAATAGTTGTCAAAGATAAATTATTGGTTCCCTTGCCATGTAAAAATAATACAGAAAAAAAAACAGGAAAAACGGCATCATCATCAAAAAATTAGTTCTCGACGGAAGAGGAAAAGGGAGAAGGTGAAGAAAACTTGAACAGAATCAACCACAAAATGAAATAACAGGGCAATTTTGCACATCCTTTACCATCAAGAGACATAAAAAATGTTTTTCTTCTTCTTTTAGAAAAAGTAAATGGTACTTTTTAACATGCTCTAAAAGAAAAGCACTCTATCACCATATGAACGTAAATTATTTTTTTTATTATTTAAACAATTGAAAAGATGAAATATTGACACTTCTTTTATTTTCCTCTCGCGTATTTATTCGCTCGAGACTCTTATTGTTATTAAATATATACTATCTACATATGATAATTAGTATGAAAAATTGCTACTTATACAACTAATAAAAAATTCTTGTTCTTTTATTTTCAATCATATTAATGATAGAAATAAGTGTAAATATATATATATTAAAATAATTATGTTTGTAGATTCTAAAAAAATAATATTCAACAAATGCCACAAATTGAAATTCCTAGTGAATTACCAATTATTCTGCGTAATTTTACATTAAGTATATTACGCACAAAACCACCTGACATTATCGATCACGCTGTCGATTATTTCACACAACTTCAACGACAACAAAAATCACAACTTATGACAGATGACAATATGGTCACGACAGTTCCGTTTTCTTCTTCTTCCATTAGACATCATGAAAAAACCTTAAAAACATCAGCACACGATGCTAAATTAACAGGTCAGTTGGTAGTTAATCAAAAATACTTTTTGTTTTTCATAAGATTTTCAGACATTTTCTAATCAACATGTACCTATTAACGACAATACTTATATTAAAGGAACATTCATTTTGTTTTTATAATAAACGGAAACACATCTTATTTGACTCATTGACCTGTATGTTGTTTTTTGATAATCAAAAATCAATTTTTTCTCACATCAAAATTATTCCATTTTACATAAAGAATTTTCGAAAATTAATTTCTATGATGTTTAGAAGTTTTCTCAAACTTTATTACGTCTAAAACATAAAAAAAACAAATTCTTATTTAAGGACAAAATAGAAATAGAACACAAAGGATTTGTCTTATTAAATATATCAACGAAAAGAAAAAAGAATAGAAAATGATAGATGTTTGCATGACAGAAATGTGGAATAGTTTTGTTTTCTGCTCATGTTAGAATTTGATCATGAGTTTATTACCATTATATGAACAAGAATAATAAAAATCATCCATGTTTCTTCTATTATATTTCAATTGGTATTAGTAAATAATATTATATATTGTATGTTTTCAAAGCTTAGGATTATCTTGTAGAATTAATAGTGTTTTTCTTGTGTCTTTTGACAATCAGTTTCGAAACACTGAAGAATAATTTGAAGAAAATGATTTTTGAAGTAAATCAAAAATAACATTGTCTCTTATTTGTTCTTTTTCTTTTGCACTAATTTAATTATTATCAATAGAAAGAAATAGATGTTCATGAAAGCCTTAACTAGTTTTATTTTTCAGAGAATACTTCGACGAATGATAATAATAAATCAATATTGGAACAAGAAAATTCAATGACAAATCCAGCAAATATATCAATTAATTGTTTTTCACCAGTATCATCATCAAATGAAAGTGAATCAAATGAAGAAGATGATGTTGCTACTTCCACTGAAGATAAACGAGTATGATCAGTGATAAAATTTTATTTTATATAATTTTATTAATTTAGCGTCATTATGTAAAAAAAAATGAATATCGTCGAGCATCAGTTGCAGCTGAACGATATAATCCAGAAGATGATGATTCTGATGATGAAAAATATCATGTTTATCCAAAAACTACTGAACAAAGACAACGTTTAAAAGATGCTGTTTGTCATAATTTATTATTTCGTACACTAGAAGCAAAACAAATTGATCAAATTCTTGATGCTATGTGGGAAAAACATGTTAACCAAGGAGAATGTATTATTCGACAAGGTATGATCAAATATTTACAGAAATCTTAAAAAGTTCTTTTGTTTTATTGTATGTTAAATAGGTGATGATGGCGATCATTTTTATGTTATTGATAAAGGTACTTATGAAGTTTATGTATCACATGTAGAAGATTCTAAAGGTCAAGCAATAAAAATTGGTGAATATAATCAAACAGGTTCATTTGGTGAATTAGCTCTAATGTATAATCAACCACGTTCAGCAACAGTAATTGCAACCAGTGATGGTATATTATGGGTAATGGGCCGTCAAACTTTTCGCAAACTTGTCTTAAAACATGCATTTCGTAAACGACAAATGTATGAAAATTTTTTACGAGATCTTGATATATTACAATCATTAACTGATTATGAACGATCAAATGTTGCTGATGCATTAATACCAATTGATTATTATCAAAATGATATTATTATAAAACAAGGTGATAAAGGCGATCGAATGTTTTTTATTGAAGATGGACAGTGTGATATATATAGAAATGAAAAATTTCATAAACGTTTAAATGAAGGTGATTATTTTGGAGAACTTGCTTTACTTAATCATGAACCTCGATCAGCAACTGTTATTGCAGCTAGTTATAAAGTTAAATTAGCATCATTAGAAGTTCAATCATTTGAACGTTTATTAGGACCGTGTATGGATTTAATGCATCGTAATACGTCCAAATATATTAAATAACTATCTTGATTATTGCAATTTTCATGATAGGATTTTAGTTTAAAGAAACAGAGAAAAAAATTATAAATGTATATATGTATACATACCTATCTATTTGAATACTTTAATGCGACACCTATGGTATAGTATATCATTAAATAAAAAAAAAACAAGAATGGCATAATATTTTGTAATAGACATTGATGAGTTACTATAGAAATTTATTTTCTTGTTATGCTTATTTTATTCATTTTTGGATAAAGAACATGATACATTGTGGAAAATTGAATTCAAAATATTATCAATCGAAGAATACATACATCTTATATGTCTAGACGAGATATAAAAGTTTATTGTAAACTTAACTATATGTTAGATATATTCATAGAAACATTGATATTGTTCATTGTCAAGTTATCACGTTGAGAAATGTTAATTCAAATGTTTTTCTTGTATGTCACGTTGTTCCTTGAAAATCCAGTTAAAAAGAGCTTAGACAAATGAACTCATCAAAACAATAGTACACATATGCCAGTAAATCTGCTATTTTCTTGTTCAACAATTTATTATGTATATATTTTTGTTTAATACTTATCACAAAAAAAGAAAACATGACTACGTAAACGTTAATAAGGCATCAACAATGATCGATTATTAAAAAGAAAAGCTGCTTTGAAATAATAAGTCACAATGCAAGATTAATTGTAATATTAAACATTATAAAAGATTTAAACCACTGAAAAACCGGTTATATGAGTAAATTAAATAAAAGACTAACATATGTTTCATTCACTTTTGGTTTTGCTTTTTTTTTCGCTTACGGCAGGTGTTTTTGAGCGATAACAGGATGACAATGAAACAAGAAGAAAAAAAAAAAGAAAAAGCAAAATAATGTTCTGTACAACTATGTTCTTTAAGCATTTAATAACGACCACCACGTGTTGATCTATTCGGAGGTGGATATGCACCACTATTACTGAAACCACCAGATGTATTGTTGTAATTCGATGCAGTTGGACGATTATTACTGACACCAGTACGTTGTTGTGTTCCCGTTCGATTAAGACTTGGTGGTGGTTTAGGTTTAGCTACAATATTAACACATTTTGGTATATGTCGTTCGGCTACTTTTGGAGCATAATTTCGTCCACAATGCGGACATTGAATATAATCCGGATTAACAGAAGCAGGTGGTGGAGGTAGATCAGCTAAGCGACCACCTAAAAAATTATGTTGTGTATTATCTATTCTTTCTTTTTCTTTGTATCATACCTGCTTTCTCATAATTAGTCGCTTGTTTAGCATAACGAATAGCTCGAATAAAATCTTCATGCTTTTGTCTCCAATTTGATTTAGGTATCTAATAAAATAGATAAAACGTGATTTTAAATTTTAATATTGAGTAAATAATATTTACTTGAAGTTTAGCTGTTTGAGTTGGACCTTTGGCTCCTTTTCCTTTTCTAAAATATGTTGCTGCTTCAGTTCCTTGTAATCGTTGTTTAGTTGAATCAAATACACGTCGTTGCTTACTGGCTTTCCTACATGCTTCTTCATGTTGCTCTATACGATCACTTGCAAATTTTCGATTGCATGTAGAACATGGATAAAGACCAGCACCACCTGATGAATTACTACTTCCAAACGCAGCATTACTACCACCACCACCACGTTTTGAGGAACTTATTGGTGGGTCATCATATTCATCTAGATTATCAATAAAGTATACATCTTAATATCCTTTGCTTATAACATACCATAAGAAGCATTGTTGCGTTGTTGGACAGGTCGTTCAGCCATTCGTCCACTACCACTACTGGGGCCAGAAGATGTCTATGTAAAAATAAAATAGTACAAATACATCGCACCCAAAACTAAAAGCATACACCAATAGGTTTCGCTGCATGACCTGGTTTACAACTTCGTTGATGAACTGATATACGATCAGCAGCAAATTTGCGTCCACAATTTTCACATGGAACCAGTGAAGCTTTTGCTGCTTCATAAGCTGCATCATTTATTTCATCGAGAGAGAAATTACCACCACCTTTTGAACAACAAAAAAACAAAGAATTTCATTTAATGAAATCAATATTAAAGAAGATATTTACTGCTAATATGAACATCAGGTTTACGTGGTGGTGGTCGACGTAAATTTGGTGGTAATTTAGCATTTTCAAAATGCCATTTTTCTAAACATTGGGGTTCATGAATATCAATTGATTGTGTTCCATATTTGCGTCCACAAATATAACACAATACAAATTTAGGCATAACTGGTGGTCCACCACTTCCACCCTATGAACAGTTCATTGAATAAATTTCGAAAAGAAAAATTTTTCATAATTGTTTTTGCTTTTTTAAACATACCGGTGCATTCTTATACAAATAATCATATTCACCATAACCATGTCCACCACCTCCGGATTTTTGCTGTTTAGAAGCATTTCGAGGTGGTGGTGATTCATTTTCATATTGATTTGTTGGTCGTCTGTATTAGATATAGACTTTGATGTTTAATATAGAAATATGAAGTATTTCATACCGAGTAACAGGTTGCGATCGTGTCATAGATCCACTACTATAACCTGTATTGACAGAAGATCGAGTGTTTGATGCACCATAATTATTGTTTGTTGTTGCTGTAGGTCGAGCACCTTTAAAAATTTGAATGTTTAATTAGTAAAATTAAATGAAAAAATGTTTAACCAGGTCGAACGTTTGAGCGAGAATACATAATTTGTAATATATTATGTTAAAAATAAAAGATTTATAAAAACTAAATCTTTAGAATAAAAATAGAGAAATAATAAATGAAATGCAAATATTATTTCATTTAATGTGCTTCAAATATAATCAAGATCTATTGCAATCAAAAGAAAAAACACACTAAAACGATCATGACATTCTGTTATAATCGTTTTCCAACATTCGTACGTTGCTATGCAATTACCTTCAATATCAATCAATTTATTATTATGTGATTAAGATAAAATTTATTGATGTCTTTAATAAAACAAAATTTTAAAAAAATGAAAAATTCTATTTTATGATTATTATCTAAAATTTCAATAGAGGGCATTCTTTGCCATGTTCAAAATGAAATTAGTATTTCTAAATATCAAGTGTAACTAGCAAATGTAAAACTTATGGAACTGTTGTTGCTGTTACTTTCGATATTGACACTGTTGTATATTTTGTTTAAAATGTTCTACATAATAAAATAACACTTTGTTTGAAAAATAGTTTGATGGGTTATTAAGTGGAAAAATAATAAAAATAACTTATTGAGTTATTTTAGAATGCGTCAATTTTTTTTTCTTCTATCTTACAATGTCGTTTTAACTATATCAGGAAAAAAATCAAGAACACAAATGCGTCATTCGCTTATCATCTTTTTCCTATTATCGATGCAGGTAGTGTTTGCCCAAGGAAGGACGAAGATATTTTTCTTCCTTTCTCTTCTCGAATACATGATTTAAAAGAACTCCATTATTGCACATTCTGATACACTCAACTTATGATAACAAAATTGTGCACAATATGCTTTCTAAGTATAAACTTAAGTGTTCAAAAAACAACTTTATTTTAACATTGAATAATATCGTTTAGGTTATCATAAATGGGATAATGAAAAAATTCAATCTAATAATTTATTTTTTTTTTTTGCATGAAACTTTTTATCTAAAGATTAGTGTAAAGAAAAAGAAAGCAAAAGTTATGTATATTTCATGGTTATGACCATGTATTTTTTTTTTTTAATTTTTATCTTCACCTTCTGACGAACGATAACATTTACATGATGCATGACACTTGGGAAATTGGATTGATTTAGTAAATAAAAGTAGATACCTCAACTGAGAAAAGAAATAAATCATTACATTTTATCTTGGGTTTTAACAAATAATTCGAAACATCCTAGTAGAATGCTTTTCATTCAATTATATATTCAAAACATAATCATACGTATTTACGTATTCTATAAATGTAATGAAAAAGAAGAAAAAGAAAAAGAATAAAAAACAACAAATATCTAGTCTTGTAATTCAAGGAACAAGAAAATGTATAATTGATGGGTAATTGTAACCAGATCTATCAGTTGATACAAATGCCACTTTCAATTAATTGTTATAACTGATATGTTCGATAGAACTATTTTACTATATTCACTGCGTGATGATAACAAGGCAATGATTTTCATTTGTTTTCAATATTTTTACTCTCACTCATCTATCTTGTTCTATGTCTTGTATGCCTTGACTAATTACTGTATATGTCTGCGTCTCACGTTCTTGCGCTATTTTCTTTTTTTCTTGTTCGCTGTTACTACTACTACATATGACATATATGCATATTTATACGTGTGATGATAAATGTCAGAAATGATTCTTTGATTCATCGATTATTGGTGAGTAAATGGCGATATTAATAACAAGTTCTTCGCATGTATAAATACTGTTTATACTAGGAACTTGTAAGTATTAACGATATATAGATAGAATAGCATATTCATATTTATATAACACATTCATATAGATGAAGGCATGTGTTTAAAAATAGAAATTTGTACGATTTTTTTAAACGATTTTTCTATTTTATTCAATGAAAGCAGTACAGAGAAAAAATGAAAACAAAAAGTGTTCGTTGAATATAGAGAGGCAAAAAAAAAAAAAGAAAGCAATTGCATGTTCGTATCCTGCTGTCAGTACTCGATCCACTTCAATCGAACGTGTGCGAGAGGCAAAAGTCATTCGCTCATCTAGTACTCTCAATCGTTCTCTTTCAATTCGCCTTCAAAAACAATAAGTATCGCTTGACTAATAGCATTTACTAAATAAACTAGATTCTTTTGTACATATGAAATTGAAAGAGAAGGAACACAATTATTTTGTTCAATAGAGTGAATAAAAGTAAGTTATCATATTTAATGTAGAATAGTAATACTACTCTTCTGTTAATTTATTGGTATCTATTCTTTTGTACTATTTACTTTGGTAGCAGCTGTTACTTTTTCCATATCTTATTTCGAAGTAAAAATGAAATCGAAAGTTCTCTTTGATTTTTTTTTTTTCTATAAGACAATCGTTTTTTATTTTATTTTATTAAATGAATAATGATGTCTAATCGTCATGTTCGTTTATTAGGAGCTCAATATAGATATATACGTATATATGTATACATATCAAATGGGTTTCAACATGTGTGCATACATATTACGATTATCCTTCTGTATATATAAAACTTATCATCTCATCTTTCAATAGATGATATCTTGACTGTTCGATATTTTCGCAATGCTTTAATCTGACGTAAACGACATTTCGCGTGATTCACATCTAACTTTTTTTCAAATAAAAACAAACAAAAATCTATGTTGATTGCGACTTCATACATTCTTTCTATATTCGATTAAATAAATTGATAGATGTGTGACGTTGTTTTTAATGGTGAATGAAGGTTGATTCTCTTCACATTGTGTGTGTATACGTTTTTTTCTTTCGATCATTGATTCTTAATTTTATGATTTTAGAGTTCTAATTCATTTTGACGTGCTTAGTAATATCAACAATAATCTCTAAATAGCTTTTTATTAAACTGTGAACATGGCTAGTTATCAACAACGTTCGTGTCGATATCCAAATTTACTTGTTACAGTGAAACCAGAAACTGAAGAAAGATCAGTAACTGAAATCGATACAAAACAACGAACACATCGTTCAAAAAATAATTATTATTCATCATATTTCTATCCAACAACTATTTATTATAATAGTAATCATCGATATCAACAAGCAAAACAACATTCTACACGTTCATCTTCATCAACAATTCAACATCGTTCAAAAAATCATGATCATTTTTATTATTATAATCAACAACAACAACAACAACAACAACAACCAATTCGTCCATTAATGGAAATAAAAAATAATCAGTTTTCTTCATATAATAATTTAAATGATAATAAAATTACATATTCAAATTTAAAACAAAGAGAACCAAAACAACGTGGTCAATATCGTAATAGAAAAGCTGAATTAGATTGGGATCATGCGTTTGATCTTGATCAAATTGATTTATATACAACACAAAATGATAGTGATAATTATTCACTTATAAGTGTTCATAGTTCAGGTGATAATTCATTGTCATCCGAATAATTACATCTTTTTCTAATTTGTTGGTGCTTTTTCCAATTGAACAAACATATCTATTGAAAACGATTCTGTTGATTGTTTTTTTTTTTTTCTTTTTGTAAATTTTTTATTTCTATTAGAATTTTAGTGCTGATCTTCGAACTATACGAAGAAAAACAAATATGGATAAAGAATAAACACTTAAAAGTTTAATGACAACGATACATAAAAGAAAACGATCATTCTATTAGACACTATTTCTTTTTTATTATTTTACAAGATAATTTTAATTTTAATTCAAAAGAAAAAAAATCTATGAGACAGTAAATTTCTATTTCCATTAATATGTAAACATGATATCTATATTTTTCAGGTTGAATTCGGTGAGGAAATTCATTTCTATCTTATATGCTTGTCTATTAAAAATAAATTTCTTGATCTAATGCAATCTAATCCAAGTCTAAAAAGCTGTTAGCACAATCTCTAGAAGATTAAAATGTGGATAACAATGTAACATTTGTTGTTAATCACAGAGAGATTGTTTTATTCGTTCTATTGTGAGAGACGTATCTTCATCATCTTATTCCAGAAATTCATTAAGAAAATGGTTTATATATTATAATAAGACGTCATTGATATACAGCTTGTGATCATATATCATCAACATCTGTCACATTCTGTGACATGGGACGGGGAAGTATTACTAAGGAGTCTTTCACAGTCTGTGATGAGCCGTTTCTAATGTGTCCGTGACGGTCTGTCGATCTCATCTATCATGGTCTACAATGGAGAGGGAATGCGAACTTCTACTCTGTATAGTTCAACACTCCTTTTAAATTGTGTTTCACATAAATATATATTATTTCTATATTCTTTTTCATAATTACATAAATATTCGGATCGGATCCAATGCGATTATATATCTTCGATTGAATGTGTAAAAATGAATTTTAACTATAGATTATCGATATTTAATATAGACACTTGCAATAGTATTACTTAACTTGTATTTTTCATTATATAGTAGTGTGCAGAAATTGAATTTCTTGGAAAACAGAATTTTCCATGGGTTTTACGAACTGAAGAAGAAGTTACGAAGATTTCGGTCTTGAGATTTCATAAAGTCCGCTGTATTCAATTCGATATGAATATTCAAACTCAACATATGTCTATATTTAATCAATTGTTTATAATAAAGATAAAATAAAGCATCAATCAATCATTAGATGAATGAAAAAATAATGTTTTCCGATAGTACATTTATTTTATTAAGAAATCGAATAATAGAGTATCTAGAATTATTAAAAAATAAATTGAATTAATTCATATCTGTATGTCAGACTTGAAAGTGATCTGATTTTTATTTGTCTAAAATAGTTGTCTAAATGTGCCAACTTTTCCGTGACAGAATGTCTTTAGAGCAGGTTGAAATACTATTATGAGAATAAAAAATAATATTGTTGAAAAATATCATTTGCATCTTTTTTGTTTGTTACCACCGTTTGATTTCTCTTTTTTTTCTGAGTCGAGAATCTCACTCACGTATGATCTCTGACGAAACATCAGTGCATTGTTTCAAGAGATTTAATCCATGTA